TTACATTCTCATTCTGTCTAATAAATTATAATAAAGTATTTACTGTTTTGATTGCAAAAGCCGTTTCTCTGCCTTTTTTTTTTTGCTTTGGTTCTGTTTTGGGTGGATATGCCAAGGTTTCTCCTGTTCATTTTCTCACTTTAAGTGTGTCATTTGGTCATATTGGTGTCTTCATTCTAATGTTTATTAAAATGTTACTGTCACTGCCAGTCTGAGACTGTGAATCAGAACTAAGAATGTGTAATAGTTTATTTCACATTTGAGTAAATTTCTTTTACTACTTAAACACTATTATGGATAGTGTTGATCTGAGATGAAGTTTAGGTTTGGCGATACAGAATGCCACTAATTTGAGTCTTCTTTTATTGCCATCTGCTGTGGGTGTTGCATCCACAACATGTTTTTTTTCTTTCCGAATCTGTTTTTAGTGGTGGTAGAGAATAAGCTGACGCATCTGGAAAGCATCTTTTCTTGGGCTGTTCAACCCGTAGTGTATACTTTGATGCTCTCTTGCCTGAGTTGTTTTGATAAGTTGAGAAAAGTCCACATTTTGCCATTGCAGTGGTAGAGTACAGCGAGAACAGTATGAGCACCTACAGCCATCTCCTGAAAGGCAAGTGGTCCGGCGGTTAGAAGGTTTGTTAAACATAAAATGTGCAATATCTATTTGTTGTGGATCTGATGGTAATTAGGAGTAATTTTTGAGGGAGTCATTGATGTAAGCCACTCTCCTTTTACTGCTCACTCAATACCTGTGCGAATTTGGGCTAGCTTGCCGTCAAGTTGTACGCTGAGATAATGGGCGCTTGGTTTTTCTCCCAGCCACGCTGCATGGCTCGAGTGAAAGAACTGCAACTGTACGGATATTGTGGGTGGAGCACAGGCCAGCTCCAGAAACGTTCCCAACTTTGTACTACTTGGAGCAGCTCTAAGTGAGTTCGATAGTGAGCCGGCTGAAGGTGGCTGCTGGGGCTGGTGGCTTATCCTCGCTGAGGTTTGCACCTCCTCCCGAGTTCTAGCAGTGTTAGCAGCCGCGGGGACACTTCATTAATTCCCAAGTATCATGATTTAAGCAACTGTCTGTGTGCGGCGGCGTTGTAGTTACTTAAAATACTGACACGTTTTGCACTGTAAGCTACAGAATTCTTAAACTGGAAATCCTGTAGCTGCCAAGGCACTTCACACAGTGATAAAGGTTTAGATCTCATGCGGGTGAGCAGAGAGAACATAGCGGTGCTGGGACAGAAGTCCACCGTCCTGGCCTACCCGCAATCTGCAGCCTCTAGAAAGGGATGCAAAAATGGCAACTGGTGCTCTAGCTCTGCAGTGCGTTTTAGTACACCAGAAAAAATTCGTATCACTGAGTGTACTTACGTAGTGACCAAGCTGTTCCCCTTAGCTTACTATTGCGTAAATAACATCAAATATAATTTGGCCTTCAATTGTTATGCAAGCTAAATAGTTTATGAATAGCAACTGTGAAATGGCAGTTCTGTTGACCATTTCCATAACAGAAATTACAGAAAAGGTGTGCTAGGTAGTAAGGGTAGCCAAAAATACCAGACTTAAACTAAATGGCAACACTTTATGTTATGATCAAGACAGTCCGATTCAATTCTTCTTTTTAATTTTAACCCTTTTATAAGCCATCAGTCATCTGCAAGAAACCTCAAAACTATCTGCGATTCATCACCAATGGGCCTTATATGAATGTGTGGGTAAGGCAAGGGGAAATCTACCCCAGAACTCGCCATCTCCCAGTAGACCCACACACCCGGTCTCTCGTGTAGATTTTGTGCAGGTTGCTTGAGAGCATGGCTGTCCGAGGACTGATTTTGCAAGGAGTGATACCTCGAACAACTGAAATTGTAATGGAGTATTATTGAAGTTATTGGAAGGACGGGCTAATCACGTGAAAATAAAGTGCCTGCTAAGCCATATTTTCCAGAAAGTATTCTCCAACAAAAGATTTTTTTTTAAAAAAGTTGACAGTGATAAGTTCTCCCGTTCGGTTTATTGGCAAACTGAAATTGCTCAAGAAATACAATGGAAGAAGGCTGCCCTTTGCCAGTCTACCTCCACTCCTGTGTATAAGCCAAAGAAATTCTATGTTGTACTTACTAAGCTAGTACATAAAGCACTCCCTTTGGGCATCTCAGAGTTTCTTTAAAAACTGAGTAACAATGAAGAGACCGAATGAAGTTTGGTGGATTTGTCCCCAGCTGCGCGGCTGTGGTGTGCCTGCAGCTCCGGAGCCTGCACTGGCACTTCCCTGCCCTGACCGCTTGCTCCTACTTGATCCAGACTTTCCTCTCGTTCCTCCCGTTTATTTGAAGCTGTTGTTTTTCCAGGGAAGAAGTTCTTTTGCTCCCCTCGCGGTAAATCAGGCTGAAGAAGAGCCGGCAGTAGGCAGGTGGCCCCACGGTCGCGCAGTAGTTCGGCATCGCGCGCGGGAAGCACAGCCTGAGCTTTGCAGCGCGGGGCTGGGCGCCAGCATTGCTTTTTCTGCTGCTGTCGGTAACTAGCTCTGTGACCCCTCTGTCTGTGAGTTTACACATATGGAAACATTTTTCCACCTTGCAAAGGTGTGGTGGGGATTAATTTAACTTTACAAAGTGCTTTTTGATTCCCAACTGAAAGCTACTGTAGGAGCTCAAAATACACTGATGAACCATAAATGGCTGGAGATCTTTGATGTGCTTCAGTATATTTGTCAAACAGTTTATTTGGCAGTGATTTCTTTTTGCTTACCCTAACTTTAGGACTGAGCCAGTCCTGTGTATTCCTTCTTTCTCTAGGTCTTTCTCCCTCTCTTTCTCGCACACACACCGCCCTCAGTAAAGGTTAGGAATAAAATACCTCCTGAATAAATAAAGAAAATACTTGGTTTTCGGATGTTTCGGTGTGGCCAGTGAGTGACATTGCCAGTATCAGTGTACCGATACAGTCTTCATTAGATGAACATTACATTAAACTGGCATGCTAGCCCAGACAGGACAAGGAAGGGGCTGCCTTTTGGAGTAATTCTTCTATGCCACTTGGAAACACTGGACCCTTTCTCCTAGGGAAAAAACAAATGGAGGATGGAAGAGTGGCAATAGATGTTTCTGATGAATTGTATGGGCAGGTGAAAAATACATAACTTGTAGCAGTTCTCCATCTCCGGTATTTGAAATAAAAAATGTAAGTTAACAGCGTTTTCTTCAGCAGTGTTAGTATTTTAGCACTGGCTTCCATTCTTTCTCACAGCTTTTAACAGAACAGGTTTGAAGTCCTATGGTTTCTGATTCAGTGTGTTTCTCAAGTTTCCAGCTTGTACCACAGTTTTTTTGGAGACTACATCTGAGAATATTCTGCTGTAGTTCTTTGTTACATGATGAGAATATTTTCACATAAATCTCTGGCATCGTAATAAAAAGTTAACCAAGTTACATTTCCTTCATATGTGATTTGCCACTTGTACATGGCTGTCTACAAATGCATTTAAAGGCTTGGATTTGGCTGACCTGACCATGCTGCTTGGGAGCCCAAGGTTGACATAAGTGGCTGTAAATTAAACTATCAAGCAAAGAACCCTAACAGTGATGCCTCTAAGGCTGTGGTACAGTCTTCCAAAGAAAGCGGTAGATGATTCACCATTTCAGACATTTCAATCCAATCTAGAAAGCTGTAGTAAATATACTGTAGGGAACATTGCTGCACTGGCAGGGGGGTAGACTAAATGAGCTATTACCAGTAGCTCTTTTCCATGTCTGACTGATAGTTGGCTAGGAACACGTTTAGTATAGTCGCCAATTTTTCTTCTTTTTTTTTTTCACTTGGAGAGCACTGGTGACATTGACAGAAGAATGCTTCCTCTGTTTGAGAAAGGTTTGTGTGGCAGGGTTGTCCCAAAAGCAGGCTATTTTTAGAGGCAGCATGGACACTGATAGCCTTAATCCTTTCCTAAAGCTTTTTAGAGGAAGAGTTTCATAGCATCTGACTCATGTGTGAGGGTGTGGTGGTATTGGAGATACCTGTGGATTAGCCGCTACACATATTTTCTGGTCTTTTAAATTCAAAGTCAAATGATATTGGATATACTAATAGTGCTATTTTTTCTTTTAGCGTGTGATTCATAGCTTTTGATTTTTCTTGGAATTTTTTCTTTCCCTTATAACCACTGTCATTCTGGGTAGAAGGAGAATTTTTACAGAGTGAGTATGAGTGAGGTAGTCAGATCCTCTGTCTGTGTCTGCTGAACTCTGCTATAAAAACCATCTAATGACAGTACAATTGAGAGAGACGGTGAGTTGCGTTTAACTCAGTTTTTCTGATACGTTTATGCAAGGCTTTTTCCTTAAAAAATACTCATCAGTGGCAGCAACAGCAATAGTAGTTACTCACAATTGAAATACTGTATAATTTCATCCTAATCAGGGCAGCTGTAGCCGATACAGCAGGTAGCGTCCTGACAGTTGGCGTGTGGTGTGCCGGCAACGGTGAGAAAGCTGGGCGTGGGGAGCTGGAGAAGTACCCAGCACCCAGAAGACTCCTCTGCTTTGCCTTGATCATAGAGGGGTGTTAATAGGCACCTTACAGCCTCTGTAAGCGTCAAAGCATCGACGCATCGTTGACAGAAGTTTCTGACAAAAATGTAGTTGTCTTTCAAAACTGGAAGCGTTGATTTTGATCCCCGCGAAATGTAAGCAAGGTTTAAAATTGGAAACTCAAAACAGACAGTATTTTTCCCCCATTACTCTGATAAAAAAGGCAACGGAACATAGATGAAAGGACAAAGAAACACTGAAGGAGGTCACCAGATCAAAGCCTGTGATCCTTCGTGGCTCATTTTCCTGTAGAAGGACAGGTCTTAATATGCAGTGTACTGCAATACGCTGCTGCTCTTTTGTTCTGCTAAAGCTTTGCTTACAGCAAAGCTGCAAAATAAAAACCTGGCTAGCTCTAAATTTCCTCTCTTCTCTTTACCTTTCCCCCCCCTCCCACCATATGATGCCCAGGGACTCCAGAAAGCCTCGCTGAGAAAGAAAGACAGCTCATGGGTATGATCAATCAGCTGACCAGTTTGCGAGAACAGCTGCTAGCAGCTCATGATGAACAGAAGAAACTGGCTGCATCGCAGATCGAGAAACAACGCCAACAAATGGAGCTGGCTAAGCAGCAACAGGAACAGGTGAGTGATTATTAGAGTGGCTTTCAGCTTAAATGATTTTGTAGGAGGGCTTTCTAGTAGCTTATCTTTTAGGGTTGGTGCTTCTGAATTTTGCTCTCCACCCAGAATTTTTCTTCCGTTTGTTTTCTTAGGTGAAGAGGTTTAAACAAAAACATATTGGAAGAATGCTTTAATTTGCAATACATAGAATAGTGCTCTTTGTCTTTTAAAGACTCTCCTTCCGATTTGGAGGTATTCTCTTCCAAGAGTGCTTTTTCTAAAAATAAGTGTAAATAAGTGTACAAATTCAGCTCTCCTGATAATCTTCCAAAGCTGCTTGAATTGAATGATGCTGAATAGGTATAAAAAGAACAAAATGAGGCATTTGGGTTGTAATATGACGAATGAAAGAGTTGGTTTTGCCAACTGTGCCAAAAAATGGGGGAGAAGAATATAAAGTCAGTGAACAAGTGTGACACTTTTTCTGCTAGACTTGAGAGGCTTGATTTTCAGCTCTTGCAAATATGCCCTCCACTGAAAATGCAAACATGTTTTCACACATGAACAGTTCCAACTTGCACACATGGACACATGATATTTTATGCAAGAACACAACTTTTCTAATGTATTTGCACTGTGCAGGTTTTCACAAAAATGAATGCCCTTTTTTGCACCTGCACATGAGCAGAGAATACTTAGACATCTGGTTTAAAATTTTGTCAGGAGTCCATCCTGAGACCTCTTACATGAAAGCATTTTGGTTTTCCTGACCCTTTATTTCAGCTGCTGAGAAATCTGAGTTTATATCATAGAATTGCATTTATGTGAATTTTATGAAACTCACAAAATTCTTTGAAATCTGTCATAGTTGTCATACTTCAGTGTTTGTATTGTACCAAGCAAGTCTTAAGATTCTGAACCACTGCTGACATCTGCAGACATTCTAGCCTTGGTTTTCCCTATTTTTGATTATTTAAAAACCTTGTCTTAAATACCATACGTTTTGGCCTCACACCTGAAAACCAACGCAGGGAGAATAGGAAAAGTGACTTATCTATTCAGCTAGAGAATCTGTGTCATACTGTTGTTTACATGGAGAAAGTAGTTGAAGGTGTGAAGGTAGAATTGGCGAGATACTTCCACAAGGAGAGATCCTGCAGGAGCAGTCTCTTTTGCCCTGCCTTTTAAAGTTGCTTCTGTTACGGGATGGCTGAACAGTCCGAGACTGAGAAAGAAAAGAGAGAGAATGGAAAAGAGGCAGTAAGAAATCCTGCAGCATTATTGTTAGGATAACAAGGATTTCCTTTAATTTAAGAAATTAGGTATAATTCTGTGTTATATAGAAATTAAAATAACCAAACTTTCAAAATGTATTGATAAGAAATATTTTGGTTGCTCAAAGAGAGGCTTTAGAAAGACAACATTTAATCTTTTAGATGTAGAGTTAGCTATGAGTGAGTGTTTCTTATGCTAATACTTTAACAATAGAAATGAAAGAAAAGACCTAAGGGGAAGAATGCCCAAAATTCCTCCCAGTAAGTATGTATAAGTTTCCATCTGACCCCGAGGTGTGTACACATACCACACTGGGAGAGCAATACTCCTTCTGATGTTTGTACTGCTGTGCTAGCTGTTCATGAGGGCAGAGCTTTTGTGATGACTCAAATGAAAGTTTTTCAAGTTTGCTTTTTACGTTTGAGGTATAGAATGGTTTATCTCCGTCCGTTCTCCGAGAGCTCTAATTTGGTTCCGTTGCTGTCTGTTTTTTCCTTCGCTGTATATAAAATGTGCCTACAGTAAGGTTCCCAATCACGTAGTCAGTGGAGAGAAAGGATGGAAGTCCTTATGGAAAACATGGATGACTTTGAGAGGAGATGATAACTACTCCGTCGGCTTCAACAAATCAGTGTCAGTGCTGAGCTGTGTCGCCTTGTAGTGCCCCCTTAGCTCCTTTCAGCTGATACACAGGTTGAAGTCAGTGATTTTCCCAAACCCCATTCCAGTCTCTTTGTGTCTGTTTCTGCATCAAGGAAATGGGCACGCTGACACCATCCTCCTGGGTGTCAGATTTCAGTTTTTTGGAATTTTTGAATGGGTGGTACCAAACATAAAAACAATATTACTGCTCATCCTACTTTTTTGCCTTTCCTGCCTTCTGCTACTATTTTCCAGCTTCTCTGCCAGTGTTGTTCTTCCTCTAGCAAATGGGAGCAAATGAGTGCTCACTTTTGGGCGATTTTAGCAATGCTATTTCAGATAACAAGAGAGGAGAGACATTTGCATCAGTCCTCCTCTTAATATCGGGCACAGTATTTTCCGTCAGATTCCCTTTCACACGAGTACCAGCTGTGAGTTGCTCCTGAACGTGAGCCCCTTGCTTCTGCAGCAGTCCAGGCTGTTGCCACCGGCATTTGGAGGCTTCCTAGCTTCATAGAGCAGTTTAAAGAACCAAGCAGGGTGGAAGTTTGCTATGTACCAACTCCAGGAATGGTATCTCACATTTCTTCTGTGCAATTTCTCCACAGATTGCGAGACAACAGCAGCAGCTCCTGCAGCAGCAACACAAAATTAACCTTCTGCAGCAACAGATCCAGGTCAGAGACTGCGTCTCCACCTATGCCCCTGTTATCTCTCTCCTCTCCTTTCTGTTTCGCCACGCTTTCCCTCAGTCATTAGTGTCATAGTTTCTTTAAGAATCTCTGCAGATGGCTTATATCTTATTTATGGAAACACATGAGGATGTTAGATGTCATTAAGCAAAAAAGGTCAGTTTCTGGAAGGCCCTGTATGATTAACACTGCTCCTACAGGGATTGGGAAGCAGATGTGAGAGGAGCTGGTCATGCGAGCAAGGGTTTGCAGTACCAAATCCTCTTTCAGCGGTAGGTGAGGAGTGGCAAAAATGTTGCTAGAAAGAGTTGGATTGCAACGGATCTCCTACAACTCTATTTCTGAGGTTTTGCTGAAGCAGTTCTCTACAGGGATTGGTAACCAAGCGTGTCTCCTTCCCACTGCCCCAGGTGTTGAAAGTCCAGAAATTTTCAACACTTTGGGTGAAGTATTGTCTGAATGAGAAACTGGTCAAAAGGTTGGTTGCATTCGGGAGAGAAACTGTGTAGGTCCTTGGGTATCTACTGGTTTGTTCCTAGCAGTAGAAAAACGTCATTAATCCAGCGTAACCAGTAAATTTTAAGCTCTTTTTTCCTGAAATCACAAGTTTCTTTTCATCCCATGGACTGTATTTCATTACTTTTCTTCCATGGGTATATATGCATGCCCCTGTTTTGGGAATAATGCAAATCATTGCCCACGAAGGCTTTCACAGAATAACAAAGGAGGGTTTTGACGTTTTACAGATATCTAGACTCATGGTAAAATCTCTGGCTGTGTAAGCATGCCGTTATGTATAGAGCAGTGCAAGCCACTGTGAAAGTGGATGCTATGTTCTGTTTGTACAGTAACAACAGGATTTTCCTTCCAAAGCTTCGTGTTAATGTTTCAGCATTAGTTGCCTGAAGTTATGGGCTGTACCCATAACTGGTCTAAGAAAACTTAATTCTAGCAAAATAAAAGGAGCTGTATGGCTTCATGCTAGACGAAAAACTGGCTCTGTCACTTCAGAGGATATTCTGTCAGTATCAGGACTTGTGTAGCTATGAAACACTTCTGGGGAAGGTCCACTCCTCTATTACAATGCAACTTACACAAAAGATGTGCTTTGCTGAAAAGAATTTTGAGATTGGTAAGGCCTGGCTTGGCTTCAACGTCTGTGTATTTTCTTCTTTAAATTTGCGTGTGGGAGGGATTTTTCTTTTCTGCTGTAACTTGAATGAGACATTAAAATAAAAACAATAGTAGAACCTCTACAATAGCAAGGAAAGTATTTACATTTTTAGCATTTAGCTATGGCAGTGAGAGAGGAAGTTGTTTTATAAGCAGTGAATAAAAATAAATTGAAGTGACATAAATTGACCCCAGCCCTTTTAAGTTTTAAGGCCTTGTAGATAAGAATGAAATATGTTGTTTTTAGGGTAGTGGAGAACACTGATTATTGATAATAAGATATAGAGCCTTTCATCTCTTGATCCCTGGTCCAAGTTTGACCTGAGTCAGTAGTAAATGAAAGTCAGCCAGCTACCATCTGATACAAGCTGCAAGCCTAAGAAATGATTTGGAGGCCTGTCTCAAGGGATTTTGGATGAAATATTGACCCTGCCAAGGTCAGAATTTCACCTCCAGGGCCCTGTTCACAGAAAACCCATCAGGTTTGGGGCACTCTCCTTTCGGATGGCCACATGATAAAGGTCAGTCATTGAACAGGCAGAGAGACAATACTGTCCTCTCGTTCCCACAGAGATGATCTATTTGTAGTGAAATTTTGATTACACTGCTTGCCTCTTGATAGTTCCACGATCTGTATGGCCTTGTAGTCTCGTGAACCCTGGTTGCAGTCCAATTACTGTGAAGTCACCAATAGGGAAAAAAATCTAAAAATCAAAAAAAATGTTACTGACAGTAAATACAAAGCAAAACATTTCTGCTCAGTTGCGTGCTTAGTTGACTGTTGTCAGAGAGAAAAAACAATTCCTGAAGAAATCTGCCTTTGTATATAAATGGAGACAATGTAGTCACCCTAACATGCCCGTGTTTAAAACGGTCTGCGAGTTTATAATCAGGTTATGGTAGGTGGAACAAAACTGTGACATGAATGTAGCTGTGAGTTCAGCTTTTCTGACCTTGCCCTAATTAATCTAACAGGCTTCTGTCACATTGGCCCGGAGTTTTTGAATAGCATTAGATTTATTGACAGGGAAATATTCGTACAGAGTCTCGATAACTATTTGACTTATGTGCAATTGAATGATTAGGCTGCAGTTATGAACACAACCTATTTATGACAAAGGATTCGTTTTACTTGAGCCAATTTTTTCTAAGCTTGTAAGAGTTGCCATAATTCCAGATAAATTATTACACAGAAAAAAGCTATTGAAATATTGTATTGAAAACATAATACCCTAAGGTTAAAAAAACCCACAGCCTGACTGACCCCATGATTTATGACTCCTTTCTCTAAGTGCGCTAACTTGGAAACAGTTCCCTCTCTCCTTACCCCAGCATACAGTCATCGATACACGCACAATACACGCGCAGGGAGAGACTGCAGCGTGCCTCGCCTCCTTAGAGGACTGCAAATGCTGTGCGTAACCACAGCTCAGTTAAACTAGCCACTGCTGTGATGCTGAGGAAAGATGTGTTAGCTCCTTGAGCTTAGAACAATGTGCCTGGCACGTGAGTCGCTCATTGACATTAGATCTTTTTCCACTCCATCTCTTCTGAGTTAACTGGAAGGAGGTGTCGCTAAGGCAGAAGACAAACAGCTTGTCTTCATATAGAGTGTTAAGTGAAGAGATAGTGCTAAACTGGAGAAAAGTTGCAGATTACATTAAATTTAAGAATCTATATGACCTCAGAATGCTAAAATTTGATCTAGACAGGATTCTGTGTTTTGGCAAATGTTTATATTATTTTTTTTTCTGCTTTTCAGGATGTTCTAGACCTAATTTGTCAAGAGGTTTGAGTTTCTTTGAATAACTAACTAAACCTTCCCCCCATCTCATTTTATGTCACCTTGGAATGCATCCTCCCATGCACACTGCTTTCTGTTCTATTTAATCTTCGTGTGTATGTGTATTGAAAAGGTTTTTGCTTTAACAGTTTCTGCCTGCTGAGTGCTTGGGGCCTTCTCCCCTGCACGTGTCAGTCTTGCTGTTTTACCAGAAACAAAACTGGAATGCATCTTCTGTCAACTCTTCTGCATCAGCAGCCCTGAAGATCTCAGGTTGTGTTTCAGCACAGCTCTGTAGCGATCCGCAGCTGTAGAACAGGCAGAGGAAAGAGCTGCAGACACCAAGTACGCTCAGCAGGCTCTTGGACTGAATCTAGTTTTGTCCTTTACGGCCTCAGGGGAACTCTCATGGTGACCTCCTCATCTTCTTTTGTGAGACCACAATCTACTTCCCAATGTCCTTGCTTTAGAACATGGTGAAGTCTGGGGCTGTGTAGCTGTCACATCAGGTGGACAGAGAGTGAAAGAAACTTGAAGGCTAGACGCTCCTTTTTTGTGATGCTGAGCTAGTCCCCAGGACAGGCATGCGTGGTGTTCTGCCTTGAGGAGTGTCTCTGAGATGCAAAGTTTTGTGGGGTGATAAAGTTTACACTTTCCACTTGCTCAGAGAAAGTCTAGCCCAGGTTGATGATTGAGTAGTTTGCTTTGAAGCTCAGTGATAAATGTCATTTAAATTGAACTGTATTTAAAATTAAATATGTTTCTTAAAATTCATAAAGCAATTCATATTCAGTAGGGTGCTGTTGGTAAAATAGGTCAACTTTGCAGCCTAAACTGTGATAAAACCAAAGTTGCTAATCTCACAATTTGTAGAAAGCCTGACAACATTTTATGTTTTCCCCTCAAGCCCCAGCTCTTGGAGTCATGTGATGACAAAAATGCCAGCTTTCAGTTCTTCAAAATGTAAACTTCCAACTCTCATATTTCCAGGCAAAATCTGAAACCATGAGCACTACAAGTTCCAAAATTAGAAGGCAAACAAAACAGAGGCCAAATGTTGTTTTTTAAACTGTTCTGCTTTTTAGTCAAAATTTTTTTGGAGAGCCCAGCTCAAGATCTTGGAACACTTCAGGTTGCCAATAATGTAAAACTGAGATCTCAAAGCAGCAAGAAGCATCAGTGCTGCTTTGCAATGTCTCTAACATTTGGACCACAGTTTTGTTTGACTTTTTAGTTTTACGCTGACAGTACTTGGTTACTAATTTGTGTTCATTTCTGGGTGACGTACCTAGCCCAAGAACTGAGTGCCGTCTGAAACATGAGAGTAAGTCCTGCCAGGCAGCAACTGTTCGATGACTGTGTTTTAACAGAGGGTTTTCTTTTTTCTTCGGAGCTAGAGACATGTCAACAGATGTCCTCATGGTGTTTCCGTTAGACAGGTTGGACCTCTGAAGAACGAGAGGACACTGAATAACTTGTGACGCAGGGCTCGAAAGGCTCGCCCTGGCCCGCTCCTCCTGCCAGGTGGGAGGTGGTTTCTGCCTGGTGCCTGGCCGGGCGCTGGTCCAGGCAGCTCCAGAGCCTGGTGGCATCTGGCAGGCATTCCAGGACTCTAATCCCAGGCAAAAAGCTTGCTGTGGCTTCCATGGCCTCAAGCCTTGCAGAGCCTTAGCAGCTTGTCTGCCAGGGAGCGTGGGCACCACGTCCCTCCAGACTGTGCCCCTGTGGGGTGCAGGCTTGCTGGCTTTCCTGAACCTCCCAGCTGCCCGCAGTGTCCTCCTGGCTGCAAACAAGGCTTTCCCTTGTGAGTCTGGATCCAGATTCCTGTTCTCTCCACCGTCAGCTGGCTGTGGCCCTTTCCCCAGGAGCTGTGTTGGTGGATGGAGAGTCCTGGCTGTGCTAGTCTGTTCCCAAATCAGAATATTCCCATTCTCATTAAGTGCTGAGGTTTAAGGTGTTGTTCCAGTTTGGAATGTAATAAAATCTTCAACACTTGGAATTTCCTGCAGGATGGTTAGTCCCTTTTGTA